TCAAGCAGGGAGAGGTGGGACTGTGTAAAATGAAGGGAATAGGTAAAATAAAGAAGAGACAATCATGTAACCGGTGGGGGGGGGGATTAGTGAGAGGACCTTAGATTCTATGATTAGCCATGTACAAGAGACTTTACTGACACCATGGTCAGGAACCCCATAACAAGGCCCAAGCTTTCAGAAGTTTAATAATTGTGTAGGTTTGGTTGGAGAGTACAACGTATAAATATGAGTGTGTGATGTGTTTGGGATGGTGGTGGGAGCCTTGTTGACAATTTAGATAACAAAAAATTGTTTGAAGATTGGAATGATGTGGCCCCCAAAGTCCCTAGTGTTATAATCATCATCATCAGCCTTCCTCTCTTCGTCACTATCATCATTGTCAACGACTCTTTATCAAAACTTCATCAATCACAAAGAGCAAAAACATAATCCTCATATTGTTCATCATCCATATCCCCAGGCTTATTCATTTACTACACTCACTGCAATCAAGCATAAAATGTTAATACCCGCACGTCTTGTATTACATATGAGAATACAGCAGAGTACACCATGTTCATGATGATCACACACATGAGTGGGTAAAAAACAAAATGGCTCCTCACAGTCTTTGTCCACAGTCATCCAAGCCTTGGACTGAGTTACCTTTATTTATGAATATTTTTACATGTTCTTTTTTATTTTTTTACATATTGTTATTTATGCAAACAATTCACTTTGAACTAAGTGTGTTTACTCTGGACCTTTAAACTTCATAGTGCATTCTGCTCTCCCAGAAGAGAAACACAAGACTTCATAAATAATGGCAGCAGTCCAGAAATAGAAATAGGGCCAATCCTGGTTCCCAAAACATTGTGAACAACATCAACATGCTCCCTCTTATGTGATAGGAGAAAATATCCTCAAGATGGAATTTTGCTGCATGGTACATTTTTAATAACAATGTTATTATTGCTTTTCTCTCCACTTTTATATTTTGAGTTTTGATTCGGTGTGCAGCAGATGGTGGAAATATCCAGTGTTTCTGTTTGGAGACTTTAGAATGGATGGGACACACTTTTTTTAATATAAAGTTGTAGTGCTCTGGCTTATTTTGGACTCTATCATTTTCAGAAACATGAAGTTAGGAAACCTCCGTTAATTACAGGACAGTGCACATAACATGATGCACAAAACACTCTTCATTTGCTTGGTTGAAACAGCATAAAGACTCAAGAAAGCTCCTTGGCCTTAGAAAAGTGTGATAAGAAAAATACATGAATCATACCTAGCTAATTAAGGAGAAAATCCTGTTATGTAAACTCCTGTGACAGAGGATGGGTAGTCAACAAATTCACTCTGTAACTTGTTTGAGCTCCTTCCATTATCACTGATCACTTAAGCTATCCGGCAAAAATGCACTTTATTCACTGATTTCAATGAAACACACTGGAATTCAGAATAAGGACATGGACGTGCAGTGCAGCCACAGTGAAGTGCAAAAACATGACACAAAGGAACAGGAATCTTGTGCATATTCAAATATCTTCTTATGACGCCTAATGAAGGTCCTTGATTCAAGTGTTTACCTCTTAGGGGCTGACTGCCTACACTTTTAACACTGCCTTGAATTCATAAAAACAACAATTAAAGATCTCACCCACTAAGCCCAAACAATAGACATTATTATTACTCATCTATAGCATATGACTGTATACACTGATGGCGATTATACATTCAATTATATTTTTTATCATTGTCAACGAATCTCATGAAAAGACTAAAACAACATTTTTTTATCTGTCTCTCCATTTTCCACTTTCCACTTTCCCTATCATGTTTGTGCCTCCCAGTCACAATCCTGTATCTTTTTAAATCTTTTAAACCAAGTAACAAATATTACGTGTCCTTGAAAAAAACTCAATACACTGAAAAAATGAAAAGAAATGGTAACACACATAAAATAAAATAAAGTATTTTGGAATATACATTTAGCAATTGTGTTGCTATTTCAATGTACTTTAATTAAACAGCCAGCTACTGTAGCTTTAAGCAAAGGTTCCTCAAACAGGACTTAATAGAACATTTGTTAGGGACTATTTTTAGAGGTGGATTAACACTTATTATTGCGCTAGTGAATATTTATGGAAGCTGGAAAGCTCATGTGGGACTGAGAGTGATTCAAAATAAACTGCAATGCCCTCATGTTTATTTAAAGTAAGGGGCATGTCAACTTTGTAATGGTGTGGCTTATTCATGTGATTTTAACCGTTTCTGCACAAGGGAGACTTTGGCTGCATGATCAATACTTACAGTCAGTGGGATATTATCCTCTGTTTGTTTGTGGTCTCTTAATTCCTTTTTTCTGGAAGAAAAATCTAAAATATATCACACACCTAATCTTTTAATGACATTCGTTTAGAGACTTGTTACAGATACTAACCTTCTTGCTTTTAGTCTGTAATTATTATTTGGCATAATGTGATATTTCATGTGTGTGAACTCACAGATCTACCCGCATAGTAATCAACTGTAAAGGCACAAGGCTTCTGGGAAATAACTGAATCGGTCACATAATGGATGTGAAACACTGGAGGTCAAACATCACATTTAAATTTTTCTCTTAAACAGACTTGAATTACATTGTAATGGTGTATTTCAGAGAAAGGAGATAGTCTCTCTCCCCGTCAACTGGATAAATGGTGCTTACTGAGCACCATTTAAAGGACAAACTCTACTGGGACAAAGGGAGTTAATCAAACCAGCAAGAAAGTTCAGAAGGGGACATATCTTTGTTGAGGTGATTTCATTGTGCTTGTGTCACAAACCATATGATACACGATATGTCTTTTGTGGATCTCCCTGATTGCTACAGCACATCCTGCCTAAAATATCCCTGAAAACTGGTCCAACAGCATCGTACATTATATCAGGCTGCACAAGACTGACACATGCAAACTCTGCTGTCACACACTGTTGGCTGCAGCAGCTGCTGGACTGACACCTGACAGAGCAGCTAACAGTCAATCAGAGACGTATGGACACTGTTAGACTAAACAACCATGAATAAATTATGGACTGGGCTTGTTTCTCTCTGTTTTGCTTATTGTAGATTGAACTTTTCCTCTTACCTGATTTCAGTGATTGATTTTAGATACTGGCGATCAGTGTAACCATAGACTGTTCATAAAGATGGAAGATGCCTCCTCTTCCTTCTGTTGTACTAAAATATAATGGATACGGGTGCCGCCATTTTGTGCTTTTCATGAAACTTGGAGGCAGTGCCTGCACAGTAGTGTCCCGTATGATGCCCTAAACAGACTTTTCAATGCCACCACTCAACTGTTCAGTTTCTCTCAGCCCCAGCAAGGAGAAGTCTCCATGTCCACCATCGCTCATGCTGAACAAGCTCTGTACGATTTAAATAGAGGCTGTGATGCACAATAACTCATCCTCTCCGCTCATTAACAGAGAAAATTTTAATGGACATATCTGCTCCCCAGCGACTTCACTGTGCTGCCCTGTGGGGAATCGAGAAACGCTTACCCCGCAAAGCAAATACATACAGGAGCTCTAAAGTCTTAATATCCGGTGAGGCTGTTGAATAACATGTGGGCATATGAGACGGATCGTTATTAAGTGAGCATTAGAGCTGACACCTGCTCGCACTTGTAGCTACCATAACTACATTGTGTAATCGTTATTGCACTGATGGCTGTGACTGCGCTCATGTTCTGACTGATGTCAGCTGTATCTTTTGACTGTGTGACCAGTAGCTCCTGTGTCCTCTGTGTCAAGGCCTCCTCTCTGTCTCATAAAGAGACATTTTGCATGTGTGAGACATTTTTCTCAGGTGAGAAGAACATGAATTGAATAGAGGGCATTCCTCCACCAAGGCTGAACAACTCTACATGTGATTTTCTAGTTCTTGTAGTAGAATTGTAAAGAGATAACCTGAATTATTTATTTGTCATAAAAAACAGTCCAAAACAGTGGCCATGAAACTAGTGTAACATATATTTTACTCTAGAAGAAAGTATTTTACTTAGAGAAATAAACGTATCATTGTATTATATATGGCGCCAATATTGTATCAATTTTATTTGTGTGTGGAGAGCTTTGTCACTATCTCAATCCATGTTTGTGTAATCAGATTTGTAAATGTGTAAATCTCAATACACTTCCAAATCTCATTACACAATTACAGATTTTTAACACGTTAACAAATCTGATTACGCACACATGGATTGTGTTAGACACACACACACACACACACACACACACACACACACACACACACACACACACAATAATGCTACAATATTGTCCACATATAGCTACACTTATGCCACTCTTGGATCTTCTAACATTACATTTGTTTTACACAAGTAATCATGAGAAATTGTATTTCATCAGTCAGTGTCCATTGTAACCGTTACTGTTGTTATAATTCAGTTAGGATAAACTGATTACTGCCCTGATCCTTTTAATGGTTCCAGTGATCAGATTACTCTAGTCCTCAATACGTCTCGTTTCCACTTGCACTTTGATTTCCAAGATGTTAAACTCTAATATCAAGTTACCCAATAAGCAGGTCAAGGGCCAGATTACCTCATAAATATATTATAATCCCACTAAAGTATTTATGTTGAAAATGATCAGGATTTCAAAACAGACATCTTGAGTGCAAACGTAATAACTTTATCCAGCTTAGAGCATATTATGACCCTGAATGAAGAAAACTTAATCTGTGTGGTGCATGAACTGGAGATATTCTGATTTATTATTTTGTTAACATAATTAGGGTTATAATTTAAATGTCTTATTTCACTGGGATTTGTTAAGATATCACCTTGATCCCTAAATCGGTATATTTACCTACACAACTAAAGTGTGTCACTTGACCAATGTCACAACTTAATCAGGTAAAAAAAAAACTCCCTCCTCTGCTGACTGACTGTATTAGTGTTAGCTATTGATCAGCAATGTACATCACTGAGTGTTTGTGTCTGTCCTACCTTGACAGGAGAGATATGTGTGTGTGGCGTGTAGCCATGTATGGCCTCCATAGCAGCAAGGTTCTTGTCGCTCATATGAAGCATCTCGGCACTTTTCCCTGGAGCCAGATGTGCTGGACTGTGCTCCAAGGGGGGCGTCTCCTCATCCTGGTACCTGTACTTCTACAAACAGACACAGATACAAACAAGGCTGTTAGCAGTGACAGGTCGGATGGAGCATGGAGTTAGTGTATGTAATTCAAAACAAAGATTAGTCGTCATGTTAAGCAATGATAATGTTTAGATCACAAACAGAATCCACCATCAGCCTCTCATTGATGTCTCATCTCTGTTAAACACATGACAAAATGTCAAATTCACAGAACCCACAGAGCAGTCTGTCCATCACAGACAATTCCTCACTTGACTGCAGACTGGCCATCTATAGGCATATCTTATATCACATAGCATATGTGACGCCTACAAGTGCAAAGTGGGGACATGATTTAAAACAGAGCCTCAGAGTGTTGCCATTTACTGTTGAGCAAAGTGGTCGCCCTCCACAACCACATGGAGCAGAGCCTGTGACTCATAGCAGCTCCACAGTAGCAGATCATGCAGCTTCTTCCTCGTAACCTCACTCCCCTACCGATATCCCACACCTGGGCAGCCTGCCAGCAGCCCACTGTGTTCGCCACACATGCTAGGTGTGATGTCACAAAATATGCATGCAGCATTTTCCATCACAAACGCATCAGAAGGTGGGCAGCATCACAGTGGAGGTCTGCCACACTGTCCTGTGTGACAGCGCTTGTGTTTTCCTACTCCCCCTAAAGCCCCCCACCACCCAGGCTCACAACACACAGCACTGCTGCACTGCAGATGTGAAGCGGTCCAGTCTGAAAACTGAGAAATTCGGAGAAGATCATCTGAATTTTGGCTGATGGCCTGATGGCCCACCTCGCCACTCGCCTCCCTCTTTTTTTTTTTTGGGAGGCAGACGGAAAGGGAGGTGCATCACCGAGCCCCCTGTCTCAGACAGGGCTGCCTAGCAACCAGAGCGGAGCAGAGATTGCGGTGCCATGGTCGGGGCTGCCAGCATCGGTCCAGGATCACATTACACTGAGACAGCAAGAAAGAAAAGGAGTGAAATAGAGATGAAGATAGAGGAGAAAGTGAGGGGGATGGGTAAAAATGAAAAAAAAAAAGCGAGTCTGTCAATAAAAGGGAAGCAGAGAACAGCAGCATGGGGGTGGAGTGGAGAGAAAATGAATAGTTGTTATCACTGTTCCATGATTACGGGTTTATAAGAAGAAAACCAAAGATTTTTCTTCATTTTGCACTGCTGCATTAATATAACATGATTAAACGTTATGTACCTGTATACCAGCAATTACATGTGGACACTATAATACCTATCTGAACAACTGCTGTATAATTACTACAATTAAACCTTTCTACATCTGCAAACCTTTTATTAAATTACAATCACATTCTAGAACTTGTAAAGAATAGTAAACACCATGAATCACGGCTCAAAGTAGGCAGAGTTCTTCGCTGCCTCCCCCTCTCCTGCATGACCAACGTTCATGTTGCCATGTCGCCTTCTGTCCTACTGGTGGGGGGATGTGACAGTCGGTGCTCAGGGTGCGTTACAACATGTCCTTTTTGCAGAGAGCTCTAGGTACGTCTCTTCTTACCGGCACATTGTATAATTGTGTAAAGTAACTCCATGTTCAAATAGACTGAGTGGATTCATTTATGAAGTAGATGAAAATTTTCTCAATGTGATGTAAAATCCTTTTTTTAGACGTTTCTCACAGAGAGTCGAAGCAGAGGAAGACGCACTGAACAGTTTCCCTGCTAGTTAAATATTGGTCGATGTGTTTCAGATATCATACACTCCCTGATTTAATTGTCTCTATGAGAACAGGCAGCTCTGAGTCCTGCGATGATCAACACAGAACTTCTGCCCAAGATGATGATGCCTTCAGGGGCCAGTATGCTTGTCAGATGGATGGTCGGGTATAGTCTCATAAACCCCCTCCTCCCAAACACCTTTACACCGGCAAATAAGTCTGAGGGCCGGGCTATACGCTTATTATCAAAACTACGTCGTATAAGATCATGTTGGAAATCAATATCGTTTATAGTTGTTCCGAACAGTCACGCCTGAAGGAGAATTGAAATCTGGCCATCGTAGAGACCAAAGCTATCCAAGCATCCAAATAACACTTTGGGTCGAGTATACAACCATTTGTGTCCAACTGACGACTGGACCATCACACACACTTAATGTTATGATTGGCCAGATGCTACTTGTCTCTTAAGCTCTCTTTCCGATTCTTGAAATCTATTTCTATTACATCCGAGTGTAACTCAATGAATGCCTTCAAAAAGGGACTCTTTGAAAATCTGCACCATTATCTGTTTAAATGAAACTGCATCTCCTCACTTTCGATGACAGCTGGGTTCCCACTCCACCCTCGTGTGTGGCCATTCGCATCAACTATAAACTGTGCTTGTGATTTGCGACGCGTTGGGACGACAAGTAGAACAGGGGTTATATTTTTTTCTCTGTCAACACATTTCAACAGAGGTTCATACGCTGCACAATTTCACACTGATTCACTGTCTGGTCTTGGCTACAGGCCTTTGAAAGTGCACTGTCCCGCCAAGCAGGTTATGTTGTTATCTGCAGGTGTTTTGTTTGTTTGTTTGCTGATTCTTAGTAGATTCATGCAAAAAACTAATGAACAAATCAACACAAAACTTGATGAGAGAATGTGGTATGGGTCAGGGAAGAACCCATTACATTTTGATGTGGATCTGGATCATGGGGAGAATCCAAGGTTTTTTTACTTTCCACTGTCTTTATCATCGTGAGATAGGACATTATTAATTTTAATTAATTATATAGGGGACTGATAGTGAGTGTGTGCAGTTTGGTGCAGATCCAAATAGAACTCTGCATCTAGTGAATTTACAAATGGTAACATCAGTGTTAGTGTCAGGAGAACATCAGGAAAACTATAGTTGATTTGATTAAAAGGAATGTTTCGCCACAGTCTTTGTGGTTCACCTGAACTATTGTAAGTAACTCTCTGATGAATAATAAGACCCATTTACTTTTGTATGATTTTAAGTCATTCAAATAAACCCCCAAAAATCACCATACACTTATTATAATATAATATATATTATATTATAATCTGACTCAATGTTTTCTTTTACAGTGCAACAAGAGATTCATTTAAATGTTATACAGGTGGAATTTATACAAAAGATGTCTTCTCTTATCTTATATGTTGTATTCACCATCAGGCCCATGGTTACATTAACACAGGCCTGGATACATACATGAAAAACTCACTGAATATGATATAATCTGTTTAGTAAACATAATGGAACATCATGTCAGAAAACGGTTGGTCACCTGCAGGAGGGTTAAAAACTGGTTGTAATGTACAAACTAAACCCCAATAAAACCTCTAACAGGCTTTATTGTATCATTGTATCTTAATGGAAGGCCACCAGTACATCTGTAAGGAATTACTCAGTTGGAAAGGTGAATATAAGGAGATTATTGCTGGCCCACCTGTACTGTAATAATACTTATACATTGGCTAAATAAGCTGTTCCTTTAATGGTTCAACTTAATGTAAAGCAAATGTCAAACCCTATCTACCGTCCTCTGTAACTCAAGGTCCAACGTTGAACGTTTGAATTGCTGTGCATTAGGTAATGGAATGAAAGCTAATCTCACCTCTCAGGCAAATCATTCCAGAGATACTTAGACTTCAAATGCACTTGCTGTGCAGGGTGTGACATCAACCACCAGAAGCTCTTCAGGTGTAAATTAAAGGTGGCAAATCCCTGCAGCATCTCCACAAAATTTAAGCTCTGGCAAGATCATCTATTTGCATTTTCTTTAATGATAATAAATCCTTCTTTTTTATGTTAGGATTAATTTGAACATTTCCTGCTTAGATGATCTCAAGGGGATTTTATGCTGAGTGATACAGCAAGACTTCGTGTCACTTCACAGCGTCATAAGAAGGAATTACATGTTGGAATTTAGTTGAATGCAGGACAGTGTGAGGCAGTGATGTAAATCTGGACAGGTGAATGTGCTTGAATTAAACCAAATTAGAAGATAGATAAAAATACATTGGTGTTTAAATATGTTTAAAATTGAGCAGAACCAGCTTATTAAAATATTCATCAAGAATACACAAATGGAAATTAATTGTACATAAATGCAGTTAAGCACAAGTTTTGGTATCCAGCTTTTCTGTTAAATACATGACACATGTTTCTTTGCAATTATGCAGCCATTTTTACCTCCACCAATAAGGTTATGTCTTTGGTGTGTTAGTTAGCATTGATATGCAAAAATGAATCAACCGATTTTCATGAAATTTTTTAGAGGGAAGAAGGAAGAAAATCTTGAATCTTCTTTGTATGAACAAAGATTTTACACTATATCTCTTGTTTAAACTGTGATCCAGGCTCTAATTCATCCATCAGTAATGCTGTAAAAATGAGTTTACTTCCCTGCACATAGGCCAGAACACCTGCTGGATGTCATAGTTGCAAACCTTCACACCCATCTACTCTAACCTCTAAACCAGCAGCCACTTTCAAGGCCAATACAAGGAAACGCTTCCCATCTGCCACACAGCATCGCCCCTCATTGTCACTTTGACAGAGCATCATGAGAGAGGGTTAGGGTCTCTGATGCTCATCTGAACTTCAGCATCTCCATCACAGTCCACCAGTATACAGCCCTTGTTGCCCTCTGTGTTGCTTTTCACTCTTAAATGTCTCCTCACACGCCAAACCCCAAACACAGCTTTCATCTCATTTGCATTATCACAAATGGGCCAAACAGTCCAACTGTTTTTCCTTCATGCGTATTTGTTGTGAGTCTCAGAAGACAGGAAATTCACTCATCTTCTGCTGGTGCTCACTTTCAGTCTTTCCTCCAAGGAGTTTCAGTACAACACTTGGACAAGTGTTGGTATCCTGTAGCTATGCTGCAGCACCAGCGGCAGCAGCAGAGCTCTACATTTACCATTGGGGTAGAATGCTTGAAGCGGCACCAGGCAGGGTTTTAATGTAACAATGCATCCAGTCAAATCAAAAAGTGGGGCTACAACAAAGACAAGCTTCTAATCCCCCAATGGAGACGCTCTAGATTTACCCTCTTTCACCCAAATTTAAGTCTGCTTTTGGGTGTAGTCGCTCTAATCTCATTGTAATGCAGGAAGTTATCAGTGAAATACAAAGCTTTTACCTAGAAATGCATTTACTCATTTGTAATTTATTATACATTTATTAAATTCAATCAGAAATCAATCTCCAAGAAAGCAACATAAGACGACTCCACCTTTAAAAAGGTGTGTAATAGTGATATTGATTAGCACCTTGACTGGTTCAGTACATTTTCCCCCAGGGAGGTCATCAAGGTTTAGATTATCCTGTTCAAACTTTGATTAAACATGTAAAGACACTTTCTGTGCTACATGTTTTGAAGCGTATTACTGTCCAAGACTTTCTCTAAGAATGAAAACCAAGATCCCTGAAGTGCTCTTGAGCGTCCTTCACCATCTGTCATATGTCATACAAAAATAAAGAAAACACAATTTTTTCCCTTCTCGTACTTATATGCTTAGTACTGTTTTAGAAATGCAACATTTAGTCTTCAGCCTGATTAATTCGCTTGTTAATTTATGTTCATCCAAGTCAAATTAATGAGATTCTGAATATCATTTCTGTGGGATGAATCATCATTGATAAAAACCCACACAAATGTATCATCCTGGAATTTAATAATCAGATTAGAGTCATAGATACAGTAAATTGCGGCGTATAGTGGGTGCTTGGCTGTCGTCCTTCTGGTGCAGGTTGTGTGCAGTGGGGGTGGTTTTTGCTCTGACTGTCTAGAGCCTGTTTTCACAGGAACCTAGCGCTTATTTCTAAGACAAGATAGGAACAATATTAAGATGATGTGTCAGGGAATCTGAAGATTGCGTGGATATTGTAAGTCTCCGTTGCATCAAGCTAGATAATAACCACCTCATCCTGACGTTGCAAAATAATGGACTTTGTAAAACTGACCCAAAACATAACAGAACAAATTAATTCAAAGCTTTATTATATTGAAGTTAACAATTCAGGTTCAAATGATTCCCCTCATTTCTCCTCACAGGTCTCACACACATGCTCCAGTGGTCTTGATTATTTCTTCCCCTCCCCCTCCATCCACACAAGCATGCACGGGCCATTTTTATGCTGAGTACATGCGTTTTTATGTATGTTGCACTGGAGGCCATTTTAACACACAGCACAAAGACTGGTAAATGGTAATACACTAGAAACAAACATGTGCAATTATAGCAGGGGTCTGTATTTCCTGTTATCCTATGAGATTGCCTGCAAAAACAGGTCTGCAGCACTGCTGTTTGCCAATTAAAAAATGTGCTTGTTTCTTATTGGTTTTGTCCCCACAGTAAAAAGAGATTTTTCTCAATAAACAGCTCACTCCTTAAATCCAAATTCAACATAACAAGACACTAATGATATATAAACACAAGTTTTAACAATGGAAAATAAATGTCTTTGTGACTGATTTTTGCTGTAGTTTTGTTTAGAAAAAAAAGAAAGAGAAATGCTGTTTATGTGTTTTGCTTTCTATGAATACTCATGAACTGAAGGGTGAGTTACTTGGATTCTGTTTGTTCACTGCACTGAGACTGAATGTCATTTTAGAGGTCATTGATGCATATCTGTGCCAGATGCTTAGAGAGAGAGAGAGTTAAAAATATATATATTATGTCCTTGTCTGTACTGTTTGTCTGTGGCCTTCGCAGGACAAATATACATAATCATTTCATCCGGTCTGAATGGTCAGCATATCTGTATGTCACTAACTGCATGCACCCTGCCTGTGCTCTCAATGTGCATGACGGAAGTTTTCAGCGGAGAGACATACACCGCTGAAGCTAAAACGATAGCTTGTAGTTAGCGAGTGAGTCACTGAAAAGTCGGCTTCTAGCAGTTGCCAGACAGTGCTCGTTAATGGGTTTGTTCGTCCTTAGCTTTGGTGAGTGGGCGAATGGAGAGGTGGAATGTATCCGTTGCATTTTTTGAAAGTGTATCATGCTCATGCTCGCACTTCCAGGATTACCAACCCTAGCTTTAACAATCACCGAAAGGGCTTTTCACTGCAAGTCACATTCAGCTATTCCCACATGCTTCCATTACACATCATTCACACTTGGCTGGAGGAGCCACAATAATGTCTTGCCCAAAGACACTTTGGCATGTAGACTGGTGGAGCATGGGATTGAACCACCAACCCTCTGGTTAATGGATGACCCACTCCAAAGCTGCCATCTTGTGAGGCTGCTGGAATCCATGTTTGTTGTAGACGAACGAGGGCCATTTCTGTACATTGCTTTTCCTCCTGCACTAACACATTTGTCGCTCACACAACACCAGCTGCCGTCCATGATAACAGCTAAGTGCAAGTTAGCACGGTAGTGATGACACTGAGTGGTTCAATCTTGCACCTGAACTCTGCACATTGTTGCTGCTGCATTTCTCTGAGCTCACTGTCAGAGTTCACTGCTCTTCATAAAGCAAGAAGCCACAAACAGCAGGATGACATGGGTGAAATCCATAGGAAGGAAAACCACTCCCTCAAATAACACGCAAACTGCTTATTGCACTAAAGAAAACACATACTTCTGCTTTAATATTGCCTTTTATATATTGTCTCCATCATTACTCTTAATCATTTGATTGTCTGGCTGGTAATGAGTGACAGCATGGTGGGGTTCCTGTCCATTTTCCAGTAAAGACGTCTGAGAATCGATCCTCAGAGGGAGCTGATCATCGATCCTGATATTGAGATGACGGGACGCTGATCCCTGAGTCGTAAATCATTCATTACATTAATGCTCCGTTTTGAACTCAATCCTTTAGCTAGTTTACTTTGCGTGCCCTTCAATGTGAGCGGCGTGCTGAAATGTAAACCTTCAAACTTCGGCGAGGCGGTGCGTCTTGATTAAATGTCGTGAGGTCATCAATGAGCATTAGGCATGAAAGAGCACATTAAAGTACCGCTGAAGGCTTCCAGCCACAAAAAGATTCTTTTAATTAAGATCCTGCGTTTAAGATGAGTGAGAGGCTCCGTGCCGGCTTTGTTTAAGGACAAAGGTTATTCAAACAAATAACCTTGAAAATGAGCAGTTATTGCAACACAGATGTGTAGCAAACATACAGTACTGCTGAAGAATGCAGGGAATTAATCCAAGCAGCAAAACCAAGAAATTTGTATAAAAAATGGATACAGAAGAACAGAACAAAAAATCACATCCCTGCAATACACAGCATCCCAAAAGATCTGACTGAAAAAAACGGCACCATGAGACTGCAACAGACTGAACACAAGCTGTTTCAACCTGCAGGACATATGTGAACCAACAAGGTATTTGGGTATTGCACAACAATGGAGATGGTAATCTTGAATCTTTCAGGTGATTAGCATGTTTCAAAGGACAGAATTAACTTTGCCACGATAGAGGCTGCAAATACAGCAACATTTGATTCTCAAAAACAAAGTATCTGCTGTAAGATGAGCGGAACCCCTTTTATTATAAGCCAGATCAGTCCCGACCAGCATTACACTACATTAAACCAAGCACAATTCTTTTTAATTGAGCCGTTAATCCCATTTTTGAAATCTGCTTTTATCACAGAATTAATGTTTGATCATGATGACTGCAGCAATTTGAGTCTGTGGGAGGAGAGTTTTGATTTACTTTCCCACGACGAAGACGTGGTGTCTCAAATGGAGATGCAGAGGAAGAGGATGTGAGCCAGGAGTGTGGTGTGGGGACACATGGGGATTATATGTGCTAGTAAAACTCAGCACAGCAGGACCTCCGTTTTTAAAAATCCAGAAAGCAAACACCCACATTCATTTAACAGCAGTAATTTTCAAATATAGAAATTGGCCTTTTCTTAGCAAAGGAAAAATGAATGAAATACAACAAGAATATCCACCTATTTCATATTTAATGATTCGTAAACCATTAAATATGAACAGTATTGAATAGATGGAACTCAAATCAAAATGTCGTAGATGAATTGACAGACAAACGATCCGCAGCTCTGTACACTTGTACACATCATTTTGGCAAAGAGTCTCCACAAATCCTGGAGTGAGTTTATTTGGCTTGGTGAAAGCAACAGACTAGAGTGCCATGTGTGAGGGAACTCTGAGTTGGCTGCCATACTGGAAACACCTGAAGCTGAGAGGGAGGGAGAGAGGATCCGGGACGTAATGGACGATCACTGAATGAATGAATGATCGTCCTTCTTTTGGGTCGCGCATTTTCAACTCGACGGCGAGATGCAAAGTCCAGATCCATAAACACGCAGGTACGAGGTGTGATTCATCAGTAGGCCACAGCAGCAGCGACACTGTCCCTGCTACCTGATTTCAAGCTGCGATTCAGCCTCCATTGCAGCACAGCCTCCCTGATGATGAATGATATGTTAGTGGCCCTGAGCAATAAAGTGAATTTCCCAAGGTCACAATACGGCCACATGTGAACCATATGTTTAGCTCCAACATGACACCTCAAGGAGAGAGAGTGGAGGACATCTGATGGTGATTGATGTTTCATTCATTAAATATCACCATGGACATATATGGTGGAGAAAAACACTCATCAAACACAACCACAGTCTGCCAAGCATGCTACATGGAAATCAGCCATATGAGCATGGGAAACAACCAGGAGCTGGCGGTGATGTAAAGGTTTTGTGAGAATAAGCAGGTGCCTGAGAGCATATGGACCAGAGAGGAAGCCGTAGGTGCAGAGTGTGATCACTGTGCTAATTGGTGGTTGTGTAAAAAGGGAAAACGCGCGGTTCAAATGAGCCGTAGAAGGCGACGCGATCACAGCTGTGACACAAACGGAAAACTCCGCGTTTACAAACACGCGTCTCTGTTTGATTTTAGTCTCGTTACACGTTTGCACGAACTCAACAGTGCAGGATGTGGATGTGGAAGAAAAAAGAGGAGAGAGAGGAGCTGCTTCTGCTGCAAACACCGCGGCCGCCGTGAAGGCACCGTGCGCCCCGGAGACTTGCTTACCTTACACCCGAACATGAGCGACAGGGTCCGGTTGCTGCAGATGACCTTACACTGGCACATGACCGGCGACAGACACTTCAGATTCTTGACAGGCAGAGACATCAGTCCAGAGGCTCACCCTCCTCCTCCTCCTCCTCCTCTTCCTCAACACAAGACAGCACAGACCGGTCGCAGCTCGTCGCTCCGCCGCCACTCTCCGAGAGAGAGACGCGGTGCATGGACGGAGGAGATCCGCGGAGTGGGGGTCGAGGGATGGAGAGGGATGCCCGGTAGAAATGTGACCGTGTCACCGTGCCCGGCTCCAATAGGCGAACTACTTCAGATCACTCATGTCTGTTCCGCATATACACTGTCATGTTGTGCAAAGCTTGAACACTGGCAGCATCATTCACAATATTCTACTTCCCCCCCCCCTCTCTCTCTCTCTCTCTCTCTCTCTTACACACACACACACACACACACACACACACACACACACACACACACACCTCTCTCTGTCCCCGTGTGTGTGTGTGTGTGTACATATATAATTATATACAAAGCTGTGCAGAGAGAGATAGCACCACTTGATCATTAATCCCTCGAGGCTAGAAGTGATATTAAAGTATGGGGAAAAATATAAACCATTCTCCTCAAAGAAGCGGAAACTGGGAGATATTTCTGATGCCACATTAAACAGTCCCTGGTTTACAAGCACGTGAGAGTCCAAGATAAGCAGGGTACAGTGAGATCACTGCGCCCCCTGTTGGACCATAGAGAGAGAACACGCCAAAGCAGCTGTCCAAGGTGCTGAAGTGTTTGTGCCAAACCCCCCTGAAGGATACAAATGGTCTTCATTCAATTCACTTTTATATGTGTAGAGCCAAATCACAACATACACTATCTTCAGGTACATTTCATAGTTAAGTCAAAACCTTCTTTTTAGGTTTTCCTTCCTTCCGTTTTAACCTTCGAACCGAACCAGACTCTATGTGGGCGGCCATCTGCTTTCGACTGGTTGGGATGCGAGGAGAAACATGGGGAGAGAGGAGAGGTGGGTGGTAAGGCGGGAGGTCATGTGTCACTGAGCCAGAACGGATCATCATTTTACAACAGCCTCCATCAGGTTTTGTCAGTGTTTGAGCTCCTTTATTAAAAATACTGCAAGTTAAAGTAGACAGATTGCACCTTTGCCATTTCTCATGAAGGCTGAATCCATTCACCACAACAAATTGATGCCGATTTGTGATCTGCATGTTGTAAGTGTGCACAATCAATGAAATGCTATCAATCATTTGAAAGTAAAGACCCCACAGTTGTGCACAAAACTACGAAGGAGTTGGTCAAAGAGTTTAAATTAGGACAGAACGTTAATTAAAGTCAATGTGTCTTTCTGAAAGTACACCTTTATAATTCTGCTGAGAAATGTGTTTTAATCAATTGAATTGATTGAAGCAGTGACAACATTTATTAGGAATAGACTTGTGTTTATAGGAAAAATGTTTTTTTCACTTACAGAACTGATATAGATTTCAAGTGGCTGCTCAAAGCTGTGAGCAGAACCAGCTGATCAGTTTGACTTTACAGAGCTCCAGATAATCACCAATATTAATAATTGGCATCTTCTTTGTTTCTTTGCTGTCATAAATTATAATCTTTTTATTCGATCTAACAGACTTAATGTCTTTCACAAGTTGTTTGTCTCATTTAGTTTTGAGACTCTCCACTCCTGTGTGTGATTGTGCTGACGTCTTGAGCCCACAGGGTGGAGTGAGAGAACCAGGTAGGCCAGATTTAAATATTGTGCATTCATCTCAGGACCGACTGCGGCGCGGGGCTCAACACTCCCGGGTGACGTCAGCGTTAAATCGAACTCGGAGACCGCTCCAAATAGCCCAGTGTGCAGCTGATGTTTTTTTTTTTTTTTCAACCATATCACCCTCTCAGAGAGTTGGGGATTGCCTGGGAAATCTGCAATGAGCTTAAGACGTCAGCAGGTTTGTCGGAGGGGGAGGTCATGAATCTCAGCACAGTGGGAAATAGACTAGTGTCACTTGTCACAGTTTACTGGAGAGATCAGTCTATAAATCAGTTGATCAATACAATCAATACAAATATGATTTTAAAAGCATTCTGTAAAGTAATATGACTTCCAGTACGACGTGGTGACTATTCTTCATATTCAGCTAGAGAACTCTGTGTGTGTGTGTGTGTGTGTGTGTGTGTGTGTGTGTGTGTGTGTGTGTGTGTGTGTAGTTTTCCATTCACCCATTCAAACTGTGCATATATGGGCAGTATTGTCTCACACATCACTCACATGCTGCTGGCACATGGAATGGGAGAGACTGGGATCAAACTGCCAGTTAGTGGACAACCCGCTTGACCTTCTGAGCCACAGCCACCACACCAATGACCCCACTACTGAGGCAAAATGTCACTGCCGCCAGCATGGTTGAGGTCAGGGGTAAGATGTGAATTATGGTTAGGGTTAGGTTAAGGTTAGGTGTGAATTGGTCATGGTTAGGGATACGGTTTTAGTTAGGCTGTCCACAAGGAATAGAAGTCGATGCAATGTCCTTATAAGGATAGCTGTGTGTGTGTTTCAGTGCGTGGGCATAGCTATCTCCACAGTGTTTTCTCAGCACTCCAGATATATGACGTTTCTCCTCGCTGTAGGTTTAACTATATACTTTGACTCTCATCTCTGATCACATAACACTTGAGTAGACTCTTTTTATTTTTCAAACCCACAACAGTTTTTTGCGTGGATGTTGTTTTCTACGAAAGAAAACTCCTGAATGCTCTGAATTGCAGCACTGAATTGATTTTCAAATGGGACTCTGGCACTGACTGCGCACAGACTCACAAAGGGCCAGCTCTTCAAAAACCACACAAAGGTGGTTCCACACATTTCTCAGCGTCCCACTTACATCAAACTCCAGTGTGAAAGCAGGTTATTGAGCTTGCTCAATCAGGAATGATGACGATAAAATATCCAATCAGAAACTTTCTACAATGCAAATGGATAAAACACATTTGAATCTTATTTTTCAGCTGTACTTGGGAAAGGAATTTCTTAGAAAACCTGTTTATTTGTCACCAACCATCTTTGACATGTATAGGCACAGCAGGAGGGACGTCATGTTGCCAAGGCCTGACTATACAACATATGCTTAGGCTGCTCAGTTTTTTACAGATATTTTATATAAAGGCCCATTTGTAGGAGTTTATACAACAGATGTTCTGTTCCGCACCTCTTCAATCATATATTTTCATTCAAGCATCATTTTCAGACAGGTAATACAGAAAGATGGATCTGACTAACGCTGCCTATCTATAATCAGTATAGATACAGTGTCATTCGATCATATGCTGTAAGTAGCTTCACTCTTCCACTACAGCCGTTATGTAAGCATGGGAGTCACATGAAAATCTGAACTGTGGTGTTCTGACGTTGAGTAAAGCATTAACATCCTAATGCAGCATTGTGTGAAAGAGAGAGAGAATGATAGAGAGCGACCCAAAAGAGATGGAGTGTTTCCATGACAACATCTGCAGGGGGGGAGGCAGATTCCAAACAAATCGTCCACTTGCCCGCAGCTTTTTTTCGGTCACCATATATATATAACATGGCTGCCGCTATATCGCAGGTGATGGTGGATGTAAACACGTGTGTCGTCATGCTACTACGGCATGCGGCACCAGGGAGACACATGCCGGCGTTTTGTTTTTTTTTCCATTCTTCTTCATAGAGAATATGAAGAAGCACTGTGACTATAAGAGTAGGCTGCTATCCTGCTGGCATAATTCACCACAGGCTGTTACAGCAGCTTACCGAGCCTGCGAGTGCCAGAAATTGTACTAAGCCTAACGCACCGTAGGTAGAGCCAGATGTGTCACACTTCACATTTTCTCTCTCTCATCTGCTGGCCACTCGAGGTGTTGGGCAGTTATTTTTGTATCTTCTTATCATCGTCAATGGTTGAGAAAATACACACTATTAATGCTTTACCTTTTATTTAAACAATAAGGGAAATAAATCAAAGCCTGATCACAAGTCCAAAACTGGAAAAATTCTACTTGACTCCATGCATACTAAGGTATTTGATCCAGACCCAATGATTGTTGTTTTTATGTGGCTGCATTTTGAATGTATATTCCACGACTTTAGACTATTTCTATTATTCCGATTTCTTTAAATGTCTGTTAAAAGGAAAGTTGCTATTCAATAACAAGTCTGACTCTGGACCCACAAAGTCACTGAGGTATCATTTATTTATTTGGGTTATTCAGACAGATAAATGACAATCTGCACAGATACTATAATGTTGGAACTCTCTTTTTAAGATATGCATTTTTACATTGATCCTTAGCCTATCTGCTAAAATTTGCAGTTTTTTTAAAAATATGTAAAGCACAATTTAGTTGAGCCCATATTTGGAGGATTGCAAACCCCACTGGAGTGAGAATGATAATTGCTTTAATGGGCCAAATCAATGCAGCATCAATTGGGGTTGTCTTGTAATGAGTATCTCATCTTTTAGTCAAACCACAGTTATTTCTTAATGGTTTGTTGCAGCCTTGATGGTGCATTTTTTAACTTTATTGATTCCACAGTCCATGTTATCACCTCATCCTTTGTTGTCTCCTAATAATAACCCCTGTTGTGTTAGTAAAGGGACAAGCAGAGATTATGAGTCTTTGTTACTGCATGACAACATTTGTTTGATTGAAATCTTTCTCTTAATAAAGGATGTATAAATTATATTTCCACCCTATTATCTTCCTTATTTTTAGTGTACATGTCCTTTTGCTACATTGCATTGATAGTCAAATTTACAGAAGTGAAATGATTTCGAAGTCATTGTATTTACAGCCATTCATACCTACCACCATGGAAAGAAATTGGAGTATCCAAATCATTTCTTAACAGTGGGTTGTCACCAAATGCAAGGAAAGAAATGTGGCTCACAATGAGCCCCCAGGCTTCAGCCTTTCATTACCCTCAGCACTCAGCTGCTTTGACACTGAAATAGTCTACACTGCAAACACAACTGGGGATCTCTCTGAGACTTTCTACTGACTAGGAAAACACCCAAGGTGAGAATTATAGTATTCACACCTTCACCTGCTATATCTGGTTTCTCTCTGCTTGAATATCTGATTTTAGATTTAATATCATACGACATTGCTTTGGTGAAAGAAATGACTGGGTCCTATATTGTGAGGGGTATAATACATGTTTGTTAATGTTCTA